CACCCTAAACCCTAAACCCTAAACCCTAAACCCTAAACCCTAAACCCTAAACCCTAAACCCTAAACCCTAAACCCTAAACCCTAAACCCTAAACCCTAAACCCTAAACCCTAAACCCTAAACCCTAGGACGCAGGCCTAAAACCATCAAAAGCAACCAGGAAAACACAGGAAGAAGCCAGCGCCGTGCGGTGCGGCTTGAACGATGCTATGACCCACAGCAGAGAAAATAAAGGTTCAGCTAGGGGTGTGGCGTGCCCAGGGCGCCGGCACCGCCGCGTGCTGCGCGCGTTGGGCAGGGCGCGGCAGGCATTTGGCCGCCGCAGCGGCTGCAATGCACTGCTTCGTTCGGCGCGGTGTGACGGCGCGCCGCGCGCACTCATCAGCGGCGGAGTATGCGAGTGCTGGGCGGGGCGCAACCTCATCACGGCACTGCGTCACAAGCGATACGCGCGGCGCGGCACAAGCCGTCCAGTCCAGCGGCCGCCCCAAAGCTCCACCACCGCAGTTAGTCCAGCCAGAACTCTTGGTCGAGGATCGGGGTGTTGAGCAAGGCCGCCGCCTGCCGGTGGCGCAGCGCCTCGGGTCCCGCGCCGCGTCGCTCGCTGCCGCCTCGGCGACCGGACGACTCGCCGCCAGCTCTTGCGGGTGTGCGCGTGCACGCAGCGGTGCAGCCAGCTCAAGCAGCGACCCGCGGCGGCCCAGGTCGCCGAACTGTTGCTACCAATGCAGTGTTGCGCTGGCGAGTGGCCGCCCACAGCGGCCGCGCCGTCGGAGTGACAGTCTGACCAGAAGCGGCAGGGTTGGTGGCAAAGGGTCTAGAGCATCGCTGTTCGCGCCGTTTCTGAGCGCTACAAGCAAGCGTTCCGCCGGCATTGTGGCGCATCGAGGTCCAGCTATCTGTGGAGCGCGTCCTGCAGTTTGAAGTGGGTAGGTGCGGCGGCGGCGCTCAAACCGGGGCGTCGCGCGGCCGCCGCCGCACACCGCCGGCCGCTGGCGCGAGCCGCGACAATGGCAGGCCGAAGGCCGCCGTCGCCGCCTAGGGCCAAGCAAGCGCCGCGGCCGCCACCGTCAAGCAAGGGAGGCGCTGCTGCATGTCGTCGCCGCTCAGCGCCACAACCCCACCCCACCCCCTAGCCATATTAGTGGCTTGTGGCTGTCTGAGAGGCCTCGACAATCGACGATGCAAAGGATTAGGATGTACATTCCCTGCGGCCTAAGCCGCTTATGGAGCTCATAGAGGTTGCTTGTGGAGCTCAAAAGCATGCATGCACGAAGGCTGCCAAGCGGGTCTGGGGCTGTTGTGATACAAATTCGCGGAGCCGCTCGGCGGGCAGCGGCGGGGGGTGCGTGGGCTGAAAGAAGCGCGCGTGGGGGGGGGGCAGTTCTGATCTGGGCACAGGCGGGGCAGTCAAGCAGGACGTGCTCGGCGGTTTGGGGGGGGGGGGGGGGGGGCGGGGGGGGGGGGGGGGCGGGGGGGGGGGCGCTTGGCACCGACGGCAGGCGGGGGCGGCGCTCCACTTGAGGAAAGGGCACGCCGCAAAGGGGTCAGAGCAGCAACGCACGCGCATCAGCGCCCGCACATGATCAAACTAGTCAAGGCCGAGGTGTGGCAAAAGTAAAACAAAAGGAGACGACTGAGCGGTAAAGGCGCGCGTCCGCAGTGCCGTAAACAACCACGCACGCTGCGTCCGTTGGGGGCAAACAAGTCCATCCCTCGCTTGGAACTGGGAGAGAGCTAGCGTCGCCGCAAGCGGCCTGGGGGAGAGCGCGCAAACAGCAGCCGCAGCGCGCTGCCAAGGCGGCGGGCTGCTAGAACATTGACACTTGCGTCAGTGGTTGAGCTGTGAGGAAAGTCCTCGGCAGGCGATGCCATCAATATGTGGCGACAAATACTACTGTCAGCTGCGAGAAAGTGACCGAACGAGGCAGTCCGTGCGCGCCGAGGCACGCGCGGCCACCCGGCCCGGTCGCAGACCGCCCTAATCAATGCCAGCCACCAAGCTCGGCGGGCTTGGGGCTCTTGGGGTGCCGGCGGCGGGCTGCTCCTCCCCCCTCATCAGCAGGGCGGTGAGGTTTGCCCGCGGTGACCGTAGTCTTTGGCGGCTGCGGTTGCAGCCGGGCCGCAGCAGGTCGCGTTGCGGCGGCAGCCGCGCAGCGGCCTTGCGGCTGCATGCCTACCGGACACAGGCCGCAATATTCAGAGCTAGCCGCGGTGCGTGGGGCCGCTGTGCGTGGGGCCGCTGTGCGCCCGCACAGCGGCCCCACGGCTGCCGGCCGGCCACAGGCCGCAGTGCGGCTGCAGGCCGCGGTGCGAGGGCCACGCAGCGGCCCTCGCGGCTGGAGCGGGCCGCAGGCGGCGGGCCCGCAGCGGCGCCGCCACTGCTGGCCGGCCGCAGGCCGCGGCCGCCGCAGGCCGCGGCGAGTGCCGCGCAGCGGGCCAGCGGCCCCGCGCCTGCGGGCCGCGCAGCGGCCCCGCCGCTGCCGGCCCGCCTGCACGTTTCATGTTCTTTTCTGTTGGGGTCCGTATGATGGATCAAAAAAAGAAAAAGGCAAAAAGTAGGAAAAGGAGCCGCAAGGCCAGAGCCCGCAGCACTGGGTTGCCCACGCGCGCGGACGAAACCTTACATGGGAAAACCCGCCCCCTCCCCGTGCACACGGGCCGCTACAGCGGCGGTCATAGCGCGTGCCACAGCGCGGCAGTCACCTTGTGCCACTGGCCTCGCCCGACACTGCCTGGCCCGTGCGCACGCCTTCGCATGTCTGCCAGCAAGCCCGGAGGCAACCCTGCCTCCTTGTCGCATGCAATGCTCTCCAGTCCATAGGATGTGGGTGTGGCTTTTCCACAGGCGGCGCCGGACGCCGCACGCGGCGCGCACCATCGGCACGCCGCGGCGCATTGTGCGGCGCAGCACGTAGGGTTAGTTGGACGCATGCGCAGTGAGCGGCGCGCCCGCGACGCCTTTTGCCCACCGTCAACTTCCGGCGTGACAAATAGACGCCTCGTCGACGCAGAGCGGCCGCAGGCCGCGGCGCGCGGGCCGCGCAGCGGCCCGCGCGGCTGCGTGGTGGCCGCAGGCCCCGCAGCGGCGGCAGGCACGCGCGGGCCGCGCCTGTGGGCCGGCCGCAGGGCGAGGGCCGCGCAGCGGCCCTCGCGGCTGCGGGCGGGGGGGCCGCGTAGCGGCACGCAGCGGCGGCAGCCGCGCGGGGGCCACGGCTGCGGGCTGACCGCAGGCTGCGCGGCCCGCGCTGCCGGCCCGCCTCATGTTTACTTGTTTTGGGGGGTTTTTTCAACTACACCACGGAAAAAGAAGACGAGGCAAAGGAAAACAAAAAAGAGAAAAAAGGAGCCGACGAGAATCGAACTCATGACCTGCCGCTCTGCAGGCGGCCGCTCTAACCACTGAGCTACGACTCCTTTCGCACACACTCTTCCCGCCCTCCGAGACCATCACCCCCGACACGGCTGTGCCGCCCCGCGCGCTCTCCAAAGACGGCGGCGTCGGCGGCGCGGCGTCCCCGCATGACGCCGCCGCGGCCGGAGCTCGAGGAAAGCAACCCAGCGCGCGCCGCCGCCCCGCGCGCCGCGGTGCTGCTGCAGCGCGTGTAGCCAGAGGGGGGGGGCAGGGTTGGTTTGTCGCTGGGGCGCCGCGGCACGCGCGTACTGCGTAGCTCGGTGCGCAGTGCGCGGTGAGTGTTGCGCGCACAGTCCCACCCTAGTCTCCTTTCTACTAAAAGGGCTGCCAACTATTGTTTTGCAGTTGGGATTGCATGCGATTGGGCTGACCCGGTTCCAACCCAGGTGAACAGCTTCAGGTGAACAGTCTCTTTCTCCCTCCTCCCTCCCTTTCCCTCCCCTCTCTCTCTTCTCTTTCTCCCTCTCCTCCCTCTCTCTCTCCCTTTCTCTCTGTTTTTTTATTTTTCTCGCCTCATCTTCCTTCTCCGTGGTGTAATTGAAAAAAAACCCCAAAACAAATAAACCCCCAAAACAAATAAATATGCAGGCGGGCCGGCAACGCCGGGGCCGCTGCGCGGCCCGCGGCCTGCGGCCAGCCCGCAGGCGTGGCCCGCGCGCGGCTGACGCCGCTGCGCGCCGCCACGCGGCCACCCCGCAGCCGCGAGGGCCGCTGCGCGGCCCACGGCCTGCGGCCGGCCCACAGGCGCGGCCCGCGCGTGCCTGCCGCCGCTGCGCGGCCTGCGGCCACCACCGCTCCCTTTTCAACCCGGCCCCTCACCCATGCCACCCACCAGGGCCCCGCCGGGCTGCTGCGTGCCGCGCACACCACAGCGGCGGCGGCGGCGGCGGCGGCGGCAAAGCCGCTGCGGGCGTCAGACGCTCTACCCCTGAGCTACGACTCCGTTCACTTACGTTTCTCCCGCCCTCCAACATCATATCCCCCGACAGGGCTTCGGACCCGCCGCCGGCACCTCAGCATCGCCGGCGGCAATTCAGCTGCGCGCGCGCGCGCGCACACACGCGCCAGCGCTGCGCTTGATTGGCGGCAGACCTGCGCCACCGGGGAAGCAGGCGCTGGGGCGCTGTGTGGAGCGGTGAGCTTTGGGTTTGTGCGCGGCGCGCGGCGCGCGGCGCGCGCGCCGCTGCGGACAAGGGGTGCACCAAAAACCCGCGCTAATGGGCCCCCCGCAGCCGCGCCGCGCTCTGCCTCATCAGCGGTGCCGCCGCCCAAGCCCCGCGGCGCAGCCATGCGTTGGCTGTGGCACCGTGCGCTTGTGTGTGCTTGCATTGTGCGTGCGCGCGTTGCGTTGCTGCCTGATTTGCCTGGTGGCTTGCGTTCTCTCTCCCCCCCCTCTCTCCTGCCTTGTATGCCACATGCACCGCCGCCCTGGAGCGCGCAGCCTCCTCCTGACCTCCTCCAGATCACACACGCGCAGCTGGCTGAGACACTTTGAGGGATTAGGGGGGTGCTGGAGCGTCTACCGGCGGCGGCGGAGGACGGGCGGCGCATGCGTGGCGGTTGGCGCGCGGCAGCAGCAATGGGCGGCCGGCGCTGAGGAGCTGCACAGTGGTGGAGCTTCGCAACTTGCTTGATAGCGTTTGGTTGTGACATTTGCTGCTCCTTAGCGTTTTGCCCTTTTGTTGCCTAGCTATCCCTTCTGCTGCCTGCTGTCCGAGCCGTGCCTCTCCTTCTCCCAAAGATCAGGAGTCGCTCACCCCCCGTTCTTTGGCCCTGGCCCAGTTTGGGGCGGGCAGTTGAGGGTAACTCGACCCTTGCGTACGTTTGGTTCTTCACAGTCAGCCTCCGGGCAGCATCCTCCGCATCGCCAGCAGCAGCTCGGCCTGGCCAGCCCCGTCACCAGCCTGCCTGCGGACGTTTCCTGAAGGTACGATCCCTTGGGCAGGCTGTGCCCTGCTCGATCCGCTTGCAATGGGCAGGCCGGGGCGCACGCGCGCGTGGGTGGTCCGGGAGCAGCACGCTTGACCTCATCCGCAGGGGCCTGATCACCCCCTGCCGTCAGCCACGGCCTTGGTGCCCAGAGCCCTGCTCGCTCGGGACTGGGCGGTCCAGCCTGCATGGCCAGCCCGCAGTTGCGTTGGAGGCAGCCGCCGCGAGCGCGGCGCGCGCCAGGCTCAGCAGCCCCGCCGCCGCCGCTCCACTTGCTTCGCTCAGTCGCCTGCCTTGCTGTGTTGCCCTTTCAGCAAGCGTCGAGGCACCCTCAGTTGTAGGTGTTTCACCGGTGGACTACCGGGCCTCTGGCCTCACCCAGCTCGCCAAGCAGCGCGGCTGCCTCTGGCAAGCTGCAGCCACCCTAACTGGACTGTCCTGGACTGCACGCACTGCGGCTGAGCTGTAAGTCAACCTGGCCAGTGCACCAGCATGCACTCTGGGTCTCGACTCAGCTGCCTCAGCATTGCGAGCGAGGCTGAGTGGCCGCTATTAAAAATGGTTTTTTACTGGGGTTGAGCCGGCCTTGGCCAGTTGGGACATGTTTGCTCTGAGGACACTATTCGCACGACAACGTAGCTCGATGCGCGTTGGGCCCGCGGGGGTGGGGACGTCGTCAGCGCTGCGGCGGCGAAGCCGCCGCGGCGGCCGCTCTAACCACTGAGCTACGACTCCTTTCGCACACACTCTTCCCGCCCTCCGAGACCATGACCCCTGACACGGCTGTGCCGCCCCGCGCGCGCTAAGGCGCTGCTCGCGCTGCCCATGCCGCCCCCACCGACTGCTACCGGCGGTGCCGGCGGCGGGGGCGGCGCAGGGGCAGGCGCAGGAGCGGGCGCAGGCGCGGGGCCGCTGCTGGCACTGCCACTGCCGCCCCCACCGGCGGCTGCCGGCGGTGCAGGCGGCGGAGGCGGCGCCGGCGGCGGGGAGCTGCTGACCCTGGCCCAATACGCTGACGACACGCATGTTTTCGTCGCGGGGCCGGCTGACGTCGCCCCCTTCCAGCGCCACATGGCCACCTTTGGCCAGGCGACGGGGCAGAAGCTCAACGTCAACAAGAGCTCGGCCGTCCTGATTGGGCGCGACGCGGCCGTGCAGCAGCACCTTGCCACGATCCGCCGCACGGCTGCCCACGCCGCCGCCTCTGGCAGCGGCGGCAGTGCCGGCGGCAGCGGTGCAGCCGGTGACCCCGCCGGCGCGGCCGCCCCTGGCACGCGCGCGCCGGCGGCGGCGCTGTGCATCGATGGCATCCCTGTGGTGGACTCGACGAGCAGCCTGGGCCTCAGCTTTGGCAACGGCCCGCCCCATGCGGACTGGGAGGGGCGGCTGGGGCGCGTGTGCGCGTGCTACTCGCGCGTGGCGCGCCTGCCGCTGTCCATGTTTGGGCGCGGCCTTGCCAGCGCGGGCTACGGCGTCAGCACCCTCCTCTACCACGCAGAGTTTGCAGGCGTGCCGCCGCCGGCGGTGCTCGAGGCGCTGGAGCGGGACACCGGCCGCCTCGTCAATATTGGTACGGCGCCGGGGGCTGGGCCGCGCCACGTGTTCACGGCAGTCAAGCGGGCGCTGCTGGCCGGCAGCCCTAAGGTTGGCGGTTTTGGGGTGCTGCCGCTGCGGGAGCACATCCACGCCCGCCACGCAAAGTGGGGCGCGCGCCTGATCTGCGGCGATGACAGCGTCCCGTGGGTGCGGATTGCGCGCGCTTTGCTGCGCGCCGCGCGGCCGTACTGCTCGGACCCCTTGGCGCTCGTTGCGCCGGGGGGTCCGCTCGTCTTCGCCCCCCTCCCGCCCCCCCTCGCCCGCCTCAGGGACGGCCTGCGCGCCCTGCCGCCCATCGACCGCGGCGTCGACCTCCTCGGGCTGGTCCAGCCGGGCCCGTGGTGCTTCTTCGCGCCCCTGTGGAACCCCCTCCTCGTCACGACGCGCCTGCCCGCCAGCATCGACGAGCCGCCGCCGCCGCGCGGGGCGCAGCTGGAGCCAGGTCAGCACGCCGACGACGCCGCCTTCCTGTGGCGGCGCGAGCAGCT